TTGTGGTTATCTATGAGTTGCATATTTTGGTAGTTGAAGTACTGTATGTATGTCATTCCTCTACTTTGTTAGTGGAATAACGTTTTTAAAACTTATTTCAACTGTCAAAAAATGTTCAATGGCCGTTGTCTTCTGATAATCTCTCAGTACATTATTTGCATCTGTTGTGTAACTGTATTTGTTATTGATTCAATTCTTGCTTATTATTGTATTTAAATATTTGAAGATTTACAAAAAATATATCATTTCTATTACTGAATTTTTTCATTGGGGCCATTTTTACCCACTTCGTCATTTGGGGCTATTTTTACTGGGCCCATTTTTACCGGGGCCATTTTTTCTGGGCCATTTTTTCCTGGGCCATTTTTTCCGGGGCCATTCTTACCTACATTCGGCAGGAGCAATTGTCTTGCTGAGAGGCCATTACCCTCCAAATCAAGCATGTTGTCTTCCAATACTACATTCATCCTACCACATTCCTTTATCATTTCATTAACAATACTGCCTGATAAACTGCAATGACTCATGTCCAGCGTGACCAATTAAATATTTTTGTCATAGAGGAAGAATTAAGAAGTAACAAAGTATATTTCAGTCCATTCAAGTAAGCAAAACTCAACGAAGTGCACATAACATTGTTAATTGACTGTTAATTGCTATAAACATGGCATTTTAAACTTTTTATCTCTGGTAGGCCTTCTATACTTAATACAGATGTTTTTTTTTACTACTACTACCTAGTACTACTAACTACTACTAACTATTTTTGTATTGTTTTTGTACCTTTTATTTCATTTACTTTGAGAACGCACCAATTATTGTTGAGTGCCACCGTTTCGAAGGTGTATGTTCAAATAAATAAATAAATAAAAACATGGGTTGGTTCAGAATTGTTTATTTGTGATTATCATTGCCATTGATCTTACCTAATTAATGCGTTACATAATAATGCTATTATTAGATTTTATTCTTCAATTCTATGCTGTTAGTCTAAAATTTAAATTAAGATCAAATGCATTACCATTGGATGGGCGAACTTATAAATGGGCTTCAAGTTATGTTAATGGTAATTGTACTTTGTGTTCACTTAACGTTCTTGAAGACAGTTTTCATTTTATTTTTGATTGTGAGGCATATGAAGATATTAGAATTGAAGAATACAATCTATTTGAAAATGCCCTAAATTGCAATGGTCTAAGCAGAACATGGGTCAAATTCTGTAATAGTGATAATAGCACAAAATTTATGTTTATTATTGGTAACACATCACTTACATACGAAGATGACTCATATGGATTATTCGACAAATTTTGTAAAGATTTCATTTGTAAAGCATGGAAAAGAAGATCTTCCCTTAAAAATGTTTGAAGTACTGTAGGCTATGGATTGTGTTTCACATTGCTAATATTATAGTTAGTGATCCTTTGTATTGTGATTTTTTTTTTTTATAAAATCTTAAAAATGTAAAATTTGTAACTTTGTATTGTGTGTTAATATTCTCTGTTTTTTATTTATATATTTCATCTAATAATCTTTATTTTTGTAGGTCTTGTTGTTAATAACTCTTTGTTAATGGTCTTAATTTTTCTGACTTGCTTTTTACTTGTTAATTTGGTTTTCTTTTTGGACGCACCTTCAGAGGAAGTGTGCCAATGTTATAAAAGTGAAGATTCCAAATAAATTATTATTATTATTATTATTAATAAAACTTGATCACTGATCTACACTGATAACACTGGCCGACTGAGGGCGTATTTTTCTATCCATATTATTACCATGAATATTAATTTTAATAATTAACACAAACAATTACAATAAAAAATGGTTTATAAATTGAACTAAAAGGGAAACTATACATGCGAAAAACACGTATTTTTCAAATTTTAATGCATTTTCAGGAAGCTTGGGTAATTTTGGGCAATTTTTACTGAATCTTGGGTAATTTCGACCCAGTCATTGGGTATATCAAAAATTGTGAGTGGTCACGTTGCTCATGTCAAAATGGCTCAGATCTGGGAAAATCTTAAAAGGTAAGCTAATGTTCTACCACTGACTGAAGATAGGTTAATCTTACTCAAATTTTTCCTTTTCCAATTCAGTCTCATATCTACACCTACTGATTCAACCAGCTTTTCAAGGTTATCAGCTGTAAGAGAATAATCACTCCAAGAAAAAAGTTCATATTTATAATTATCATCATCATCATAAGGCTGAAAAATTACCCTAACTCTGCAAGTGATTTACCATCAATACATGAAAGATCATTGCCCTCTAGTCTAAGCATGTTGTCTTTCAATACTACATTCATCCTACCACATTCCTCATTCATTTCATTAACAATACTGACTGATAAACTGCAATAACCCATGTCAATATGGCTCAGGCCTGGGGAGATCTTAAAAAGGCAAGCTAATGTTCTACCACTGACTGAAGATAGGTTAATCTTACTCAAATCTATCATTTTCCAATTCAGTGTCAGTCTCATATTTACACCTGATTCAACCAGCTGTTGTAGGTTATCAGCTGAAAGAGAATAATCACTCCATCTGAAAGGTTCATTAGCACAATCAGCATAAGGATGATGAATTACTCTGACTAACTCTGCAAGCGATTTACCATCAATATCTGAAAGGTCATTGCCCTTTAGTCCAAGCATGTTGTCTTTCAACATCCTACCACATTCCTCCATCATTTCATTAACAATACTGACTGATAAACTGCAATAACCTAGGTCAATATGGATCAGGTCTGGGGAGATTTTAACAAGGCAAGCTAATGTTCTTCCACTGATTGAAGATAGGTTAATCTTACTCAAATCTATCCTTTTCCAATTCAGTGTCAGTCTCATATTTACACCTGATTCAACCAGATTTTGTAGGTTATCAGCTGATAGAGAATAATCACTCCATCTGAAAGATTCATAGGCTTTATTGACAACCCTGACTAACTCTGCAAGTGATTTACCATCAATATCTGATAGGTCATTGCCCTCTAGTCCAAGCATGTTGTCTTTCAACATCCTACCACATTCCTCCATCAATTCATTAACAATACTGACTGATAAACTGCAATAACCCATGTCAATATGGCTCAGGCCCGGGGAGATCTTAAAAAGGCAAGCTAATGTTCTACCACTGACTGAAGATAGGTTAATCTTACTCAAATCTATCATTTTCCAATTCAGTCTCAGTCTCATATTTACACCTGATTCAACCAGCTTTTGTAGGTTATCAGCTGATAGAGAATAATCCCTCCATCTGAAAGGTTCAATATAAACATAATGCTTATCATAAGGATGAATTACTCTGACTAACTCTACAAGAGATTTACCATCAATATCTGAAAGGTCATTGCCCTTTAACCCAAGCATGTTGTATTTCAATATCCTACCACATTCCTCTATCATTTCATTAACAATACTGACTGATAAACTGCAATGACTCATGTTGATATGGAATAGGTCTGGGGAGATCTTAAAAAGGTAAGCTAATGTTCTTCCACTGATTGAAGATAGATTAATCTTACTCAAATCTATCGTTTTCCAATGCAGTGTCAGTCTCATATTTACACCCGATTCAACCAGCTTTTGTAGGTTATCAGCTGATAGAGAATAATCACTCCAAATGAAAGGTTTATACTGTGTATAGACTACCCTGACTAACTCTGCAAGTGATTTACCATCAATATCTGATAGGTCATTGCCCTTTAGTCCAAGCATGTTGCCTTTCAACATCCTACCACATTCCTCCATCAATTCATTAACAATACTGACTGATAAACTGCAATAACCTAGGTCAATATGGCTCAGGCCTGGGGAGATCTTAAAAAGGCAAGCTAATGTTCTACCACTGACTGAAGATAGGTTAATCTTACTCAAATCTATCATTGTCCTATTCAGTGTCAGTCTCATATTTACACCTGATTCAACCAGCTGTTGTAGGTTATCAGCTGAAAGAGAATAATCACTCCATCTGAAAGGTTCATGAGCACAATCAGCATAAGGATGATATATTACTCTGACTAACTCTGCAATCGATTTACCATCAATATCTGAAAGGTCATTGCCCTTTAGTCCAAGCATGTTGTCTTTCAACATCCTACCACATTCCTCCATCATTTCATTAACAATACTGACTGATAAACTGCAATAACCCATGTCAATATGGATCAGGTCTGGGGAGATTTTAACAAGGCAAGCTAATGTTCTTCCACTGATTGAAGATAGGTTAATCTTACTCAAATCTATCCTTTTCCAATGCAGTGTCAGTCTCATATTTACACCTGATTCAACCAGATTTTGTAGGTTATCAGCTGATAGAGAATAATCACTCCATCTGAAAGATTCATAGGGTTTATTGACAACCCTGACTAACTCTGCAAGTGATTTACCATCAATATCTGATAGGTCATTGCCCTCTAGTCCAAGCATGTTGTCTTTCAACATCCTACCACATTCCTCCATCAATTCATTAACAATACATAAGAGACAGATACTGACTGATAAACTGCAATAACCCATGTCAATATGGCTCAGGCCTGGGGAGATCTTAAAAAGGCAAGCTAATGTTCTACCACTGACTGAAGATAGGTTAATCTTACTCAAATCTATCATTTTCCAATTCAGTCTCAGTCTCATATTTACACCTGATTCAACCAGCTGTTGTAGGTTATCAGCTGATAGAGAATAATCCCTCCATCTGAAAGGTTCAATATAACCATAATGCTTATCATAAGGATGAATTACTCTGATTAACTCTACAAGTGATTTACCATCAATATCTGAAAGGTCATTGCCCTTTAACCCAAGCATTTTGTATTTCAATATACTACCACATTCCTCTATCATTTCATTAACAATACTGACTGATAAACTGCAATGACTCATGTTGATATGGCTGAGGTCTGGGGAGATCTTAAAAAGGTATGCTAATGTTCTTCCACTGATTGAAGATAGATTAATCTTACTCAAATCTATCGCTGTCCAATTCAGTCTCATATTTACACCTACTGATTCAACCAGCTTTTGTAGGTTATCAACTGAAAGAGAATAATCACTCCATGTGAAAGGATACTTAATACCACTATGCTTATTTTCAAAAAGATTAATTAGTCTGACTAACTCTGCAAGTGATTTACTATCAATACATGAAAGGTCACTGCCCTTTAGTTTAAGCATTTTGTCTTTCAATACTACATTCATCCTACCACATTTCTCTATCATTTCATTAACAATACTGTCTGATAAACTACAATGACTCATGTCAATATAGATCAGGTATGGGGAGATCTTAAAAAGGCAAGCTAATGTTCTACCACTTATTGAAGATAGGTTAATATTACTCAAATCTATCATTTTCCAATTCAGTCTCAGTCTCATATTTACACCTGATTCAACCAGCTTTTGTAGGTTATCAGCTGAAAGAGAATAATCACTCCATCTGAAAGATTCATAGTGTCTACTGACAACCCTGACTAACTCTGCAAGCGATTTACCATCAATATCTGATAGGTCGTTGCCCTTTATTTCAAGCATGCTGTCTTTCAATATCCTACCACATTCCTCCATCAATTCATTAACAATACTGCCTGATAAACTGCAATAACCCATGTCAATATGGCTCAGGCCTGGGGAGATCTTAAAAAAGCAAGCTAATGTTCTACCACTGACTGAAGATAGGTTAATCTTACTCAAATCTATCCTTTTCCAATTCAGTCTCAGTCTCATATTTACACCTGATTCAACTAGCTTTTGTAGGTTATCAACTGAAAGAGAATAATCACTCCATCTGAAAGGATTATGCTGTTTATTGACTACCCTGGCCAACTCAGCAAGTGATTTATCATCAATATCTGAAAGGTCATTGCCCTGTAGTCCAAGCATGTTGTCTTTCAACATCCTACCACATTCCTCCATCATTTCATTAACAATACTGACTGATAAACTGCAATAACTCATGTTAATATGGATCAGGTCTGGGGAGATTTTAACAAGGCAAGCTAATTTTCTACCACTGATTGAAGATAGATTAATCTCACTCAAATCTATCTTTTTCCAATTCAGTCTCATATTTACACCTAATTCAACCAGCTGTTGTAGGTTATCAGCTGAAAGAGAATAATCACTCCATCTGAAAATTTCATACTGTGTATTGACAACCCTGACTAACTCTGCAAGTGATTTACCATCAATATCTGATAGGTCATTGCCCTTTAGTCCAAGCATGTTGTCTTTCAACATCCTACCACATTCCTCCATCAATTCATTAACAATACTGACTGATAAACTGCAATAACCCATGTCAATATGGCTCAGGCCTGGGGAGATCCTAAAAAGGCAAGCTAATGTTCTACCACGGACTGAAGATAGGTTAATCTTACTCAAATCTATCCTTTTCCAATTCAGTCTCATATTTACACCTGATTCAACCAGCTGTTGTAGGTTATCAGCTGAAAGAGAATAATCACTCCATCTGAAAGGTTTATTAGCACAATCATAAGGAAGATGAATTACTCTGACTAACTCTGCAAGTGATTTACCATCAATATCTGAAAGGTCATTGCCCTTTAACCCAAGCATGTTGTCTTTCAATATCCTACCACATTCCTTTATCATTTCATCAATACTGACTGATAAACTGCAATAACTCATGTTGATATGGCTGAGGTCTGGGGAGATTTTAAAAAGGTAAGCTAATGTTTTTCCACTGATTGAAGATAGATTAATCTTACTCAAATCTATCGTTTTCCAATTCAGTCTCATATTTACACCTACTGATTCAACCAACTTTTGTAGGTTATCAGCTGAAAGAGAATAATCACTCCATGTGAAAGGTTCATTAACACCATAATGCTTATTATCATAAGGATGAATTAGTCTGACTAACTCTGCAAGTGATTTACTATCAATACATGAAAGGTCATTGCCCTTTAGTTTAAGCATGTTGTCTTTCAATACTACGTGCATCCTACCACATTTCTCTATCATTTCATTAACAATACTGCCCGATAAACTACAATGACTCATGTCAATATGGCTCAGGTCTGGAGAAATCTTAACAAGGCAAGCTAATGTTGTACCACTGATTGAAGATAGGTTAATCTTACTCAAATCTATCATTTTCCAATCCAGTCTCATATTTACACCTGATTCAACCAGCTGTTGTAGGTTATCAGCTGAAAGAGAATAATTCCTCCACTTGAAAGGTCTATACTGTGTATTGACTACCCCGACTAACTCTGCAAGTGATTTACCATCAATATCTGATAGGTCATTGCCCTTTAGAATAAGATTTTTTTCTACTAATGCTACATTCATCCTACCACATTCCTCCATCATTTCATTAACAGTACTGCTGGATAAACTGCAATATCTCATGTCAATATGGCTCAGGTATGGGGAGATTTTAAAAAGGCAAGCTAATGTTCTACCACTGACTAAAGATAGGTTAACCTTACCCAAATCTATCTTTTTCCAAATCAGTCTCATACTTACACCTGATTCAACCAGCCTTTGTAGGTTATCAGCTGTAAGAGAATAATTCCTCCACTTGAAAGTACAATTGTGTGCATAACCAGGATAATTGCTAGACTGACTAACTATCCATATTAATGCTGCAAGTGATTCACTATCAATATCTGAAAGGTTACTTTGGCTCAGGTTACCCCCCATGTTGATTATCACTGTTACATTCATCCTATAACAATACATCACCATTTTAATAATACTGCCTGATGGTTTACATCTGGCTACCTCTAAATATTTTAGTTCAGGAGCCACTTCAAACAGTTTTTCTAATAAACCTACATCATTATCACATATATCTTCAATAGCCAGTTTTGTTAATTTCAACTTTGTGTGACTTCTGTGTAATTCATTTATAGCTTCACGGAGTACAGAAGTTATACAGTGTGTTATGGTAGATAAGTTTCTTGCATAATTTAAGAAATGAATTAAGACTGAAGAATTTACTTTGAAGTCAATATAGCTTAGATTATATGTCATATCTATATTTTTCATTGCAGTGGAAAGAATATTGATTCTTGAATCTCCCCAATTCGAAATATATTTAAAAAAATTATGAGTTGGCCAACTTCCTTGTACTACAACTGAGCTGTGTACAAAATCTCTGCATGAAATTCTTAAAGACTCTTCACTGGATGTATCTATATTAAAGATTGCTGCCTGTTCAAGTTGATATTTTATTTTCCCATAATCACATTGAATGTAACACATAAGTTTGAATAAATGCATATTTTTGATGTCGTCGTCATTATGAATTCTTCTGAATGACTGACATATTTGCTCACAGCATGCTTTCATTTCACTGTTGTTATCCAATTCCTGCAGTACATGGTGTTTATGTTCATCTTTCACATGTCTGAAACATTGTGCTATTGAGCACAAATTTGAGGCCCTCTTTAAGAACCAATGTTTTAGCAATTTACCAGCTTTAGCACCAAGAAATCCTACTGTAAACACTCTTGTCATATGTAGATATTTATTAGATCTTATCACCTCATACTCCTCTGCTTTCAAATTATCTTCCTGAATTTGATTAGCCAAGTAAAACCCTGCACTCCCTTTCTGAATTCGTGCAGACAGGAACAGCCCGGCTAGTGCCTCTGAAATTAACTTCTGCGGAGGTGTGTACATCTCCCTTGTGTCACCTGGATCAACAGGGGTATCTTCATAAACAAATCCAAAATTCAGTGCTAAATTTACTAGTTTTTTATTATTTGCCATCTCTGACAAAACATATTTGTCAATAGATAGTGCATTTTTCTTTAGTCCTTCATACATACATTCTCCTAAAGCTAAAAGGGCAGACATATATTGATCTGGAATTCTGTCAAAGTTAGTAATTGCAGTCACGTTGCCAGTCCTGTTTAGGTATTGATTTAAAGTACAACAAATGATTTCCTTGAAGAGATCTGGCAAGTATGTGGGAAGAAGACGTATTTGTTTCCATATGGTGCAAATATGAAGCAATAACAGTGGAGATGAACACAATTCAAACGCTTGTTTGTGATCACCACCCCAATACATTGTATACTCTGAATCAAATCTGAACTCTTTTATTAGCAATTCACCAACTTCAGTTGCACCAATTGATTTAAAATGCTTGTGAATATATTTCTTTATGTTTCCTGGACTGAATCCCTTTACTTCAATGTGTACATCACAAGATTTAACCAAATCAGCTGTGTTGTCAGGTCGAGATGTTATCACCACAGTGCTTTTTTGCAATTCAGTTCCTTTAAATAGATCTAATGGGTCTTTAGCATCCCTTTCTAACTCATCATATCCATCTAACAAAATTACTATTTCATTGTCATGTTTGACCAGGAAATTTTCAACAGAATTATCATTCAAATCATTCTTTATAATTATTCCGTTTGAATCCATTTTTTTCACAATCATGTCCAAGAACTTTACACATGTTTTAATTTCCCTGATATTCATCATAAACAGTAATTTATCAGCAAAGACATGTTCATCATCAGTAGCCCACTGATAAGCAATATATTTAAGGAGAGTAGTCTTGCCCATTCCTCCCTTCCCTGTTATTAATACCTTACATGCATCTGTTGATTTAATAAGATCTAATACCTCTGTTAATGATGCAGGTTTACCTGGCTCCATTATACATGTCGACTTGACTTGTTCTTGTTCTATATGTTCTTCTTCCTTGGTATGCTCTTCACCTGTATACTCTTCATCTTTTTCTTCTTTGTTTTTTTCTTTTTTTTCTTTGTCTTTTGGTTCTCTATTGCCTTTTCTTGTTGACTGATGTAAGATGAGTTCAGTAAACGTTTCTGCAATATCTACAACATGATTTTTATGCCAGATTGATGGTGTCATTCTTTTTAAATCTCTATATATTTGTTGTTGCGTTTTCATCAAGAAATCTTTGATAATTATGTCTGGAATAGAGAATCAAACAACAATAATATAATTCTGCTATTACTTATATAGAGATATTTTTTAATTTGAGAAGTATTTATTTTCATATTATACATTTATGCTCACATTAGCATTGTATAGTCATTTAGCTATTTGACACTACTGAATAATCATTAACATATTTTTATCTCACTATTCGTAAAGTAGTATTATATTTCATTTACATGTATTTTATATTTAAAAACAATATTTTATTGACTAATCCATTTTCAGTTCATTATACTCATATTTCATTTCCATTTTTGGATTTACATACAAATAGTGCTAAATCCACATTCACAAAATTAGCAATTTCTCCCTGTAGAGTCAACTTACCATCATCCATCACCATATGATCATCATTAATATCCTCATCCCCATTTTCAGCATAAATGACTAGTTTTTGAGTACTGGTATTTAGTGCTTGTGTGTGAACTGACTGGAATTTACTACAACTCCAGTTATATTTTCTGATCATAGCAGCTACAATAACATTAACTAAATTTCAACATGGCATATTTGTCATAGTTAACAATGAAGCATATGCCCTGCACATACCATAGTTACTACTAATATTTTCTCTTATTAAATAACAAAGAATTAATGAATAAATCTGTTTTTATATCCATACCTTCTTTGCTTGGCAAATCTAAGGGCTTTGTTGATGATTGTAATCCAAATTCATTACCTGTGTAGAAAGTCAAAATTGTGTTTATGTTTCAAACATTAAATCAAAAAAAAAACTTCTGTACAAAACCAAGAAAACAAAACAAATTTGTTATTGTATCAAACCAACTACAGATATTTAATTAAGTATTTACATTTATAACACCTAAGATATACTTTTTAATTAGTACTGCTCTTTTGACACCGGGGCTGCAAAGGTGAAGTGGTGGCTCGATGCCCATACCAAAATATTTTAGGAGATATAGACAGTTAGCAGACAAAAAAGCCCTATTTCTGTAGACACTAATAGGCTGTTTCATTAGTAGATTTTCATTTCACATGTATACTAAGGATTTTCTCATAGTAGTATCTACTTTTGTAGTTAAAAACGGATTTCTTTGTCAGAAATGACAGGACTAGCATGGCTATTGTATAACGAATATTGATGTAAATACTATAACTGAAGCTACCAACTATTTATATCATGTTAATTTTATTATCCATTACTTATTACACACCTTCATTTAACTTCAGTCTCTTTTATGTCTGTTTGATGTTTGTCTTGTTAAACCTGTGCTTGTTTTTTTTTTTATTTATTTATTTTTTTTGTGTTTGTTTTTGATTTTTCTTGTGTAAAGCTTTAACTAATTTTGTATAATGGAATTGTAATTTTGTTTAATTGAACTGTAATTTTTAATAATGTTTTTGTAAATTTTTAATTGTAAATAAAATCCTCAAGTCAGCCTTTGGCTGCTATGGATTTCTTTTTTTATAATTTTGATTTTGAAAATTGAATAAAGATACCAAGATAAAGAGGGTTCCTACAGTTGTAGTAGATTGAGCATGATTTACAAACTAGACCACTAGACTGTATGTAATGAATATTTATTAATGTAACTCCATCAAACAAATGGTTTTAAAGTCAATTAATTAAATAAATTGCAATAAATCAGTTTAAAATTGGCAAAATTCTCCTTTTGCAAACCATACCTTACAGTAAAGCTTTCACAGTCGAATTAAACAGTACTCATCAATTTTATATAAAATCATCATATTTTCAAAAAATGTGTGCCAGATACATCACATTTTAAAGTTTTAGAGCTAATTCTGCACCTTCATTTTAGAAACTTAAATTTTAGATATATTTAAGCTCCATGAGTTAATTGTTTTGAATTTTATATCTAATTTATATGTATGGAAGAGAATGGAAAAAAAAATAGGAAATGCCTGAACATTAAAATTATACAATAAGATTATGAATGAAAACATAGAGATCCATTTTACTTTACTTTTTAATTTAAATAGAACTACAGGTTTTAACATCACGATTTGTTCCAATAAAGAACATGATGGTCTAACACTGTAAAACAACTAAGATTCTACGGCTAGCAAATTCGGTAATAAACACATACGCCTAGAAAACAGTTACTATTTCGATGAAAAACAACGGTAAAATCATTATTTTCCCATCAATTAATATAAAATATGGATTTATATTGAGCTGTGTCTACAAAAATTTGATAATCAGGCTCCGGAGGAAAACAAATTTTTGATATGTTGTAGAACTGATTTTTCTAAGACAGAAAAAAGTTGTTTGACGAAAAACTGGGGAACGGTGAATGAGATACAGATTTTTTAATATCTAAAAACTGGGGGAAAAAGGGGCGTAACCACCCAATTTTACACCTTATTCCCCCAGTTTTTAAATATTAAAAATCTGTATCTCATTCACCGTTCCCCAGTTTTTTCGTCAAACAACTTTTTTCTGTCTTAGAAAAATCAGTTTTACAACATATCGAAAAATTTTTTCCTCCGGAGCCTGACTTTAAGAGTTTTTTTAATTCTGTAGGTTTCATTAAGTGCATTGGTTTATGCATTTGTGTCTGTGTTCTTTTTGAAATAAGCATGATCACAATAAGTGGCGGATCAAGAAATTCAAAATAGAGGGTGCCCTGAGTTAATTTCACAGATGTAGTGTTTAGACCACATTAGCACCACAAGGGTTGGGGATGAGGTAAGAAAATTTATGATTATGGCACCTCCAGATGGCCAGGAATGGCATTCTCAGACATAAAAGGGCTGCCTAAGTCCTCTAGCTGGGGTTCAAAGTAAATCCCTTGATGGAGTCATAAGGGGAGGGGTTATTATGCTTTATGGTATTAAAACGTGTGACCAATATCACAATATCAGGAGCTGAAATCACAATACATTTGGTTGGAATGGCAAATTATATCTTAAACTGACAACCTCAAGTGGCATACAGAAAAGCTTGTCCAACTAATGATAGACAAAAGATTAAGAGTTCATGAATTGTCGAGCATCAGGCCAAAAAAAATAAACAAAAAAAATTGTTTGTTTCCCCTCTTCCACCTGCCCCTAACTCACTCTAAAAAGTAGGGGTGGAAAAACAAAAAAAATTAAGTTTTTTTTAGCTTTTTTCTTCACAAATTAAAAAAAATGTGAGTGAATCTATTTTTAACCAGATGCACTACAAATTAGTCTAAAGTTGTTGTCTGATGTAAGATATTGCCATTCTAGGCCTCTGGGTTATTTTTATTCTATCTGACAAGTATTTAAAAAAAAATAAAATTAAAAAAAAACTTTTTCCACCCACCCCTATTTATCATTTTTAAAAAAAGATGGGCAAACGAACAATTTATTTTATTTGGCCTCATTTGAATACTACTAAATTACTCCATTTATTGTATAAAGAGCTGCTTAAATAAATTTTAATTAATGCACCTACATACCTTCATTTACTTTTGCTCTATTTGATGTTGATGCTTCTTTAATACCTGTAAAAAGAAAGAGAAATTGAAAATGCAAATAATAAAAGCAGAGTGTAGTCTGTATACTGTACCAAGATATGAGATTAGTTCGGCGCAACCTTACTGGCTTATGTCTTCTTGGTTCCCTGCACTTGTTGAAAATTTAAGTGAATGAATAAAGTGATATAAGTTTTAGGTATGTAAGATAAACTTTATATGGTGTCTAATTGGTTGATGTAGATAAAAGTGAATAAGTACTGTACTGTATAGGTAATATATCCTTAGTTTAAAAGGCCAGCGGAAAAAAGTTCATACAAGAATCATTGTATAAACCAGCATTCCGCAAAATTTTCACTTCACGGCTTATTTATGATTCCGGGCACCAAGGCACGGCCCAGCAGCCCAGCTGCGAAAGGGACCAACTTTTGATGATGAAGCATCCATGTATATACAATATTTTGACATCTGTTCTCTCAGTGAGAAAATTTCATTGCATATAAATTAAATATTATTTTATAAAATAAATAATGCCGTACATTTGTGTTCCCTCCACCCCCGACAATTGTTGATTGTTTTTTTTTTTCTACCATGATTCAACCAAAAACGGTTCAGCCACACACGTCATAGCTTTCTCCTTCTTCCAAAAACTTTTACGTACACTCTGTTACTCCGCAACTTTGAAAGACTACCTTTATAATACAGGTATTATGTTTAGTAATAAAGTATCCACATGGGATGGGTGTTCGGTTATCAAGAAATGTGTGGTGTTGTTTAATGTAGTGATCATTCTAGGACAGGTCTTATATTTATTTTTATCTTTAGCTCATGACTCATCCCATCATTCCTCCATACCGGATTTACTCGATCTTAGGGTTAATACTACACGATAACATAGTGTCTAGCTCCCAAAGGGACATAGACACAAAAACCGCTTATAACTCAAATAGTTATCTGGCATCTGGCACTTTAGCAGCATTTGCAAATGATGTATTCGCTGTAATAATGAAGCGGCTTTATTAAGAACTATTTTCTCCATGACAAAACGTCTATTTGTTATTTTAATTTTTTTTTTAATTTCCAGACGGCTTCGCGGCCCTCCAAAAATGTTTCGCGGCCGTGAAATTTGGGCCGCGAACTATAGTTTGCGGTTTGCGGAACGTCGGTATAAGCCTTTACAGATCTAATAGACATGCTGTAAAGTTTGCACATGTAGAAAGATCTGCATATATAAAAAAAAACCCTGATCCACCATAAGACAACTTGATCTGCCTGAGATTCTTGAGTGCATACTTTATGAAGGCCTTAGGGCCCATTCGAGCGAAAAAATATCTGTGCGATTTACCAGTTAATTCACCGGTACAAACTTTCTAAAACCGCTCGGACACTAGTCTAATTACCTTACCATCTGGACCACCAAATTGCTGGGTAGAATACCGTGTATGGAATGACCATGGAGCTGGAGGCGATGATAAATCAAACTTAATTGTTTTCCTAAATGTTTTGTCCACAGCCCAGCACGAAATTCAATAGGTTACGGCGCAGGCGTGGTTGCAGCTCTCCTTCGCCTCCTTACCCATACACGACGAAATCTAAATTTAGTAGCATAGCTACGCGATCGATTTGTAGATTTACCATTATTCTGAGAAATAAACTTGAATAAACTGGCCTCTGTAAAGATTTTAAACCAGCCATTATAAGTTATTGGGCTACATTATCGTTCCACCGTGCCGCGCTGTGTGTACGTGGGCCGGTTATAGCAAGGAGGTATACCTCCTTGGTTATAGCAGCAGTAACAAGTAATGAGTTGTTCCATGGGATAAGTTGAAATTTACTTCCGGAGCAATTTCGTTTATTACACGTATTTACCGTGAGCTAAAACTTGCTCGAACGATCGACGACCCGCTGAGTGCTCAGCGCGATTACCCGGTGAAATAAACGGGATACAGTTGGCGTTTTTGCTCGAACAGGCCCTTACTGTTTTTACCATCAATGTGTATGGGTCATGCATGGCAGCAGATGGCAGTAACCATGATATCTGATGAGGTGAAAGTGAGTTAATGAAGCCAAATCTCTGGCTGGAGTATGGGAAATACCTTGAATAGGACTGGCTACTCAAAGTAACAAATATCATGCTAAATATGTTAGCATTTATAACAATATTAATAACAATGAACTTATAAGGTACATTGACATGACCTCTATGTGCATCTGAATGTCAAAAAGGGAAGGTTAAAAACAATTGTGCATCCATCTGTTTATTTATAAAGTATCATATAAAACTATTAGTTCACAAACAACAGCAGTATACCTTCAAGTAAAGACTTCACAGCCAAGCAACTTGGTAATCCTTCAATAAAATCATCAATCTTTTCTTCACAAAGCTTATTCTTTTGTTCTAGATCCAGAATCAAATGCCAGCTATCATTGTAATTCTTTAACAGGGGCAAGTTATATCTTACATCAAGCGCTACTATATCATCTTCAGTCAATACCGTTCCTAGCTTGAACAGGAACTGTCTGTACCATGAGAATTTAGTTACTTCATGTTCCCTGATTCTTTGTATAAGTGGAAGTATAATTCTGGAGTTGAAGCCAAATTGTCCAGTCACTTTTATAGTGTCATACAGGATAGTGAGATTTGTAGGACTCAAATTCCCAGAACCAATTAACATACTTAGCAAGGATATCACCTTAGTAGCCTCACTTAATTCATTATAAATTGGCACATGATCTCTGTTGTTGTACAAAACTTTTAGCATATTGACATGTCCAAGTCCATCATACCATCTTGAAAAGTCCACCAACAGCTGGCTGAAATCATCCTTTGAAAGTCCTATGATAAAAAGTTGACTATCATCAATATTACCGTAAGCCAGATAAAAAAAAAATATTGTGTTGGCCACGCCTGAATGAACAATATTTTTTTTCATGAGCTTTGCCTAGACATTTTTGGTTTAAAAAAAAGTTTTCCGACCGACCAAGCCATTTTTAAAAATTTTCCCAAAATGTGGCCCACACAAAGATTTTTTTTTTGGCTTTATTAATAGAAATGTACAACTTTAAACATCAACAAGTAAAATGAAAATGTACATTTGATTATCATCTTCATTGATCATCCATTACAGTAATTTAACTCATCATTAAAGAAGTGAAAAATAGGTAAAAAAAATGAATAAAAGTAAATAGAAGTTTAAACAATGGAAATAATGAATACTTCTTTAATACCCTGAACAAATTCTAATTTAAATTTTGAGATAATTTAAATAAAGATTACTCTAACAGGGAGAGGATAAAGAGAATGTGTGCATTTGCATATGTGTTACTGTAAGTGACATGTAAATAAACACAGGGTCCCAAGTTGGAAGTCATTACAGGAGACTGTGGTGGCAAGGAGAGACTTTAACAGATTAAGGGTCGACAGACTCTGAACCACCTGCCGAAAATGGCCATGCCAGACTTAAATTTAAATATTATTTTCTTTTCTGCCCCAATTTTATTAAAAATAACTTTTAAATACTTAGGAGCCCAGACCGGCTTCTCCCGCCCCTATGAATCCGCCACTGCTTTGGTTAATGAGCCTTCTCAACGCATTTCATTTTATTTTGCTACACATATTGATACCCAACGGCACTGACTTCCATGAGAAAATTTAATAAAGCAATGAAAACATGCAAAATCATGACTTTGCGGAAATAGGTTAATTTTCAGGAGATTCCTTCTTGCTTGCAAGAGTGCGGGAGGTTGCCACAATTTCTGGGGGAATACCGCAAGACTTGAGACCTGGAGTGATAGCCACTGTGTGTGCGCTGAACCGTGGAGATCTCTAGGTCCCTGGTTCAATTGC